TGAGGCCCTGCCCTCCTTACTCTATGAAGATGGGGGACAGAGTGACATCAGCGCCCCCTGCCCCGGTCTCCCCCACCCTGCACAACACACAGGAGGCTCCCAGGAGGCGGCTCTGGGCAGGAGCAGCAGGGCTGTGGGAGGAGGGGAGGCTGAAGTCCTGGCACTTGATAACCTCTCATCCAAACTACTCAGGATCACCTGTCAGAGGCTCTAAGATCTACTGGTAGGTCCTGATTGACTGGTTTTTGACTATTGGTGTAGCCAGAAGTTGTAAGCATTCAGTTTTCCTGTGCACCTTGGTATACTTCTGCTTACCCATATAGGATATGGGGTGGTTACCACTTAAACCAGTACAAAACTAGAGTAGCTCCATTGCAGTCAACAGTCTAGCATTGGTTTAAGATCAGTGTGTATATAATAGTGTACTGCTGTTTATCTGAATTCCCTCCATCTGAAAGTCCTAGTTGTACAGATTAAAAGTGTCTTCCATGTATTACTCTCCAGCTAATACCTTCACAATTATCTGTAGTGCTAATCAATACAAAACATTCTAACAGCTGCAAAGAAGCTACTTACGAAGTTATTAGTGGACATCTGGTTATCCAAAAGTTGTGCATGTGCACAAGGCTATCCAGATAAATGGGAATGTACTATGTGTCAAGTCCATTCCAATTTAGTCCTTTCTTAATTATTGATGGCAACACCCTCTGCAACCTGCCAGTGCTGCTTCTGTCTTGGTCAGAGAAGGCTTCTCAAAAATAACATGGGATATTTTTTCCCACATTATTCCATATCCACAAGATGAAAGCACAATCTTTGCTCTGGCAGGGTATGCATTCGGATAAGCGCACCCATCCATGACAGCAGAATTTGCTCGCATTAGACAATATATGACAGGCAACACTTACTTTGTATACCTTTGCTTGGAGTTATTTTTTTCTGCAAGTATGCTTATTTGGTATGGGCCTAAAGGACATGGCAAATAAGTGTACTTAAACTAGTAACAAAATGCCACTAACAACTTTCTAAGTAGCCCCTTTGCATCTGATTTTTTTAGAAGCTCTGAAATATCTTTTTTATTTTAGTTAACTTGCTCAGATTAGGTGTGTTATTGTACAGTAATAAAACTGCTTCTTTCTTCCCCAACTCTCTAGCCCGTGAGTACTGAATTAACTATAAAATTGATATGTTGGTGCTCTGTGGCAGGGGTGATGTTTCAGTACATCATTCAGCAGAGCATTTAAGCACATGAATAATCACATTTAGAAGTCAGCAGATAGGTCATGTTTACAGTTAAACATGTGCTTAAGTGCTTTGCTGAATTGGAACTTTAAGTAACACAAATGACTTCAACATAGGTCATGTTAAATCATTCCTCTCCTCTGAACTGTCCTGCTTGTAGCAAGAATGGGATTGGAGAGGTGTCAGGCATTTCTGTTTGTTTCGTGGAGCAAAGAGTCTCAGTCACTCATTGCTATCAGCAGCATGGTTTGTGTTTATGTAGCCTCGTTTTGTATAAATTCGTAGGCACACAACAGCCTTTAGAGCTTGTTTGGAAATATACTCCGTTGCTATTTTAGAATGTTGAAGCTTGATCTGGAGCAGTGGTGGGTATGATATGGCCCATGGGTCAGATCTGACCCGATTGGCCTGAGGGTGGGGAAGCATGTGTGTGCAAAGTCTCTTGCTCCCCAGGGATGCACAGCTCTGGGGGAGCCACATGGAGAGGGAACCCATGTGGCTAGGGCTGCTCCAGAGACACTGTTGGACTGCTGGCTGGGAGGTGCCTAAGGTAAATAAATGACTTTTGACCAGAGTCTGCCTCCAGCACCTCAGCTCCTGCTTCTTGTACTCCAGCCCCATCTACTACTTATCTCCATACCCCAGGTCTTCACCCCCTCTGTTGTAGGTCACCATCCAAATCCTCTGCACACTGCCCCAGATCACAGTTCTCTCGCATACCCTACATCTCCTGCTATACCCCTTCCCCAGGTCACAATTCGCTACTACACCCCTACTCCCTCCCAGACCCAGCACCTAATCCCCTGCCCAAGGTCGCAACCCGTTACTTCACCTAAACTCCTTCTCAGACCCCACACCCTCTCCTGCACCCCAGATCCCTATCTTGAGCTCCCTTCTGCATCCACCCTCCATCCTGAACCCTGCATCCCTTCCATAGAGAAGTGCTGCCCTTGACCACTTTCCAAAATCTTGGAGTGGCCCCCTATCAAAAATTATTGCCCACTCCTGATCTGGAGAGTTACTGAGCTCATCAGGCAAGTGTGCATTCATAAACCAGATGCAACCCAAGTGGAGATTCCATCTAGGCAGTCATGGAAAAGCTCTTCTGCCATTCTGCATTCAAATGGGGGAAAACAGAATTCCTTCCCACTGTCTCCAATGGGGCGCTCTTGTGCCAAGCCCTACTACCTAGGATTGGAGCAAGAGAAAGGTATTTCCCCCATAATCACAATCACTGCTTTTAATTTCAGATTATGATACTTCTATATTTACACAGTAGAGCTGTTTTGTAATATTTGTATTCCATGATTTAGTCACAAATTACTCTTTATTCACAAATGCTCCAAAGGAGGCGTTGGAAAAGTCTAATTCTTTTTAGAAAACTTTGAAACCCATTCTGCTTTGAAATACTTCTGTCCCTACACCACCGTTGGATCTCCTTTTTATTTTTCCTTTTCATCATTATGTCATTTGCACAGACACATAAAATGAGTAAGGCTTTCTGCAGTAATGCTGCAGACACATTTGCATAAGAAGTTTCTCTGTTCCATAGCACTTAATCTGATTTGGTTGCTCATTTCTCCTGTGCAGTGATAATCCTTTTAGTGATTTCACAATTTTGTCTGCGACAGCTATTTCTAATTTTAGCAATCGAGGACTGTACCTTCAGATGTGGAATAAGCAGTAAGAAGAAAAGAACTGTTGATGGCTGTCAGGCGTGTCGGGGAATCCCCGAGCCCTGCACCCCCATCCACAGCCAGCTGTGACTCTCAGCCAGTGGGTAGAACAGAAGATTTATTGGTTCACAGGGACACAGCATAGCATAGGATCGATGTTAACACAGGGATCAAGAGCAGGCAGCATTATTCCTCTCGGGGAGTAGGGGTCTTGGGCCCTTCTCCCTCCTTTGCTGTTCTAGACCCCTTCTCCCATCCTAACTCAGCGGAGACTGAGCCCTTCCCCCAAGCTCTAGTCCCAGCCTGGTGTCAGCTCTGCCTATCCTTTGTCTCCCTTCCTGAACAGGAGTTATCTCCTATATCTGATCCTTAGGTGTGAGGCCAAATACACTTCTGCAGTGAGTCATCCCCCTTCCTCCAGACAGTGTTGCAGGTCCCGGGATGCTAGGAACCACACATAACACGCAAAGCAACACAGCAATACAATCCCCGCTACGTCACAATGGGTGAACTGATCTATGTATGTCTCTTGCCTTTAATCATAATGTTTAAAAGGAAAGCCAGAAAATGATATTTACCTGTGATTCAAGCAGTGACTGGAAGCAGCATAGCCCAGGATACTGAACATGGCCAGTGATTTATGAACTTCTGATACCAAATCCCAGCCACATATGGAGAATGCATGCACATTGACAATCATTCTTTATTTTAAAAAAATATAGTATTCTGTCTCATTGAGATTCCACCCTGGTAGTGTGTGGAGTGCAAAAGGTTTTGGAAGGCAGTGGGAGAGCTGTCTTAGATTAGTGCACCGGAAACCTGGAGAGGCTTGGAAACAGAGTAAGAGGAGGTGTTGGAGAAGCAGCTGGCAGACAGGAGAAAATTTAAGATAGATTATTTGTTAGACCTGAAAGAGCAGATGCAGTGGCATTATGAATGTTGGGAATGAAGTAATCAGTTGAAGATTGGAAAAACAAGGCTCAGATGGAATGGAAGTCATTAAGGAATAAAATTTGTGATGCTCAACAAAACAAGCACAACAATGCTCCGACAATGACCATGATGTGATTAAATTGTTCTTGCGGAACACTGACATTTGTCATGTTATTTTTCTTTTATTTGTGCTTAAGATATTCATACTTTTGCAATGTTTTTATCTAATATATTGATTTAAAAAAAAACCTTTTATCTCTAATAATATTACACGATTTTAGTGCTTGGATAGCTTATTCACCATAACATGAATAGGTTTCCTATACTTGGAAGAAAACCAGTGCAATTATTGTGAAAGGTGGCCTAGGAATGGAGTTAAGCCAAAACTACAGTACGTTGGTTTATTGTTTGGAATATGGCAATTCAATATAAGGATTTTTATGTTCCATTTGTGGCTTTTCAACAGAGGTGATACATTTTGTAAAGAAATTTACATTTTGGTATTTTGTTATCAAAGGTTTGACAGAAAATTGACAGGAAAATATTTCTCTTTGTACTAGTTGATTTCAGTCTCTTTATATTATAATCTGCCTAATGAAACTGTTCAGGCATGATGGACACTGTAAATGGACATGCTCATCTCTTTCAGAAACTCATTAATCTTGTGGCTGTCATGTCCAATCACCTGCAAAATGGTGCTCACATAATAATGAGTCTTTATTTCCTAGATGCTAACTTAAATGGCAACTATAGGACCAGATTCTTTCTTCTAATATGTCCCCCATCTATATGCTACTTAATTTGTGCAAACAGGAGGAACAGCAGTTGGATCTGGCCAGCTGAGAATTCCATCAACATAACTGATTCTTCCTTCCTGCTTACACACTGAGCTCTGGTTTGGGAAGGGGAAGTGGCCAGAACATACTGCATTCTGGCTATGGTCAGCTGATGTGGGGTCCTTCAGCTTCAGTAACCTGTGCTGGAGCCTAGATCAGCTAGTAATCACCCTGAGAATCAGAGAGCTATAAGACGTTCCATGAGACTTTATTATTGAAAGAACTGGACTTTATTATTGAAAGTCCAGTTCTGGATAATTGTCAAGGATTGCTTAGATAGTCTAAAAGGTTTTTTTTTCTATTATCCTTTCAGCTCCAGTTCAGATATTTTGAGAGATCTGCAAGAAGTTGAGATGTTCACAGAGCCATCCAATAAGTGAGTACACTATGTGGATGAATGAGTTTTTTTGATTGAGACTATTCTAAGCCATTTAATTGTTTCCTCTGTGTAAATAAAAAGACTTGGTTTAAATTAGAGATGTTCAGATGTGTTTAGGTAAATGTGTAACTGCTGAAAATGTCACTGTATCAGGGACAGTAGCATGGGAGGGAGCAAGTAGGAGCTGGTGCTTGCGGGGAGCCAGCTTTTAAGCCAGCTACCCACAAGCACCAGCTCCTTGGGAGTCACCTTCCCCCACCATGCTGTTGCGTGGGCTCCCCATGAGCACCAGCTCTTGCCTGAGCGCCCTGCCCCCCCATGCTGCTGCCTCTATATCGGTGGGAAAGGAGAGCTACATGTAACCATGAAGGTTAACCACGAGACTCGTTGGTTAACCATTTACACATTTATACTGTCACATCCCTAGCTTACACAAGTAACAGAAAACTTGCAGTTAAGGCTGCCGTGATGGAGTTAGAAATGTTGAAAAACATTGATAGCATCACAAATTTTACAAAGCAAGCACACAGTATTCCCAGTATTCATTTTGCATTCCTTTTGTGTGGCGAGGGAAGTCTGCTCCTCTGCATTTAAAAGCATTTTTTAGAACAGAAAATATAGTTTATTACTATTTGTGTTATGGTAGTGTCTAGAAGTCCCTACTGAGATCAGGCTTAATTGTGCTAGGCATCATAATGAGAAATGGTCCATGCTCTAAAAACTTAGTGTAAATTGATAAGACACACAAAGGGTGTAGGGGAGAAATAGATGCACAGAGTGATAGATCCCAAGATCACACAAGAGTGTCAGAGCTAGAAATAGAATCCAGGTAGACCCCGCATTGGGACTCCAGCCCTCTCTCTCCCCCATCTCCCTGTGAGGTTGACTCTGTGAGCCTTCCCCCTTGCCTAAGGGAATGGCAACACAGGAAACCACTCACCTGGAGGCTTTTTCCATGGCTCCCATTGGCTGGAATCCCAGCCAGACCCCCCCCACCGTCAGCTCGCTCCTGCTCCCTACCTCCCGGCCAGACCCCACACTCACACCCCACCTTGCATTAATTTGTCATCATTGGTGGTCTGCGGAAAGGTCTGCATTGAGCAGGGTGTGCGGTGGGACAAAAAGTTTGAGGGCCACAGTCATAGGCCATAACTGAAATTAAATTTGAAACTCCTAATGTGTATTATTTACTCAAAAGTATGGTGCTGTACTGCATAATAACAGTTTGTAAAGGGAACACTGACAAGGCCTTGACTATAATAATGCCAGAAATAAATGGGAATATTAATCAGAAGAAAAAAATCAAATAAGTAATCATTAGACATTTAGTGTAAAATCAGCCCTTGGTTAGGAAAGAGAAATGTATAGCATTTAGAAGAAGAATGTTCGTAAGCATAATTTCTGACAGCACCAGCATAAAATATTCAGTTGTACTATTTTCCAGTGCTGTAATCTGCATTGTAACATTTTCCTCATGATTTTCCTCTGCTGCTATTTCCATTGTCTGGAACGTTAACCCAGAATGCAAGCAAGCAGCCGTAGCTGTCTTTGAAGCAGACAGGAGTTAGAACTCCTAATATTTAGGGTATATTTATACATAAACTGCTTGACTCCTTCCTCACAACCCTCTTCCTGAAAAAAAACACTTGCGAGTGTAATTATATGATTGCTACCCAGGTATTGGCAACGTAAGAGATGCAAACTCCTTCAAATGAGTTGTAACGTGAACCATAACGTATTACCTAGCATGAAATGACACAGAGTTAGTTATTGCTCCCCTTTACTTACTTATACTTATTTTGAATGTAATTTGTACATATATCTAAGATTTGTTCTTGAAGTTTATTGGGATAACAGTTTATTTTAGGATTGGGTGTAAAGGTGGTAAGATTATACCTTCTTTAAATTATGACAAGTGCAGTTGAAAATGGGATGAAAATATGAAATATTTTATGTGTTGTTTTTCCCAAAAACAGCACAAATGTGATTTGCTGTGATTTCTTATACCTTCTGTTGGCAAAATATATTTATCTTACATCTGTTCTTTAGAAAATTGGAATGTCCATAAAGACTTATCTGGGACATATAATCAATTCCCTAAAAATGTCATTTTCTTGGTTCAGTTCAGGTAATATCACTGCAGAGTACTTAGAAAAGTGTTGCTGGGTTTGTTTCCTGCTAGATACTAATTACTGATTTCAAAGGCAACTATTAGTCTGAAAAAGTAACAAATAAAAGTGGCTAAGGAACAGATTTATACTGCTAAGAAGCTACAAATTTGAGAACAATATTTGTTTCTATGAAGTTCTTGTTAACAAGGAGAGAGGTATATAAAATATTCCAAGTTGATTTGTTGTTAGGAAGCTACCTATGTCTCTCTTTAGACTCCCATTTGTCATCAGCATGCAAATTGTTACATATTTGCCTTTTTTGAAGTGGAGGGGCAAATGTGGAGAGAACACCTCCCCCTCCTGCACTCCATCACAAACCTTTGTTGAACAGATCCATACCTTTGTAAATGTTCTACAGAATGACACATTTGAATCAACAAAATGTCTTTTGGTGCACCATATCAAAGGGATTGATGATTTATGACTCAAACTTCCTACATGACTATAGCACAGGATGCCGAATATGAATTGGCAGAGAGCTTATTGCAAATGACAAACATAATAATAATCTGACAATATCAGATGAAAGAAGGAAATTTGAAGAGGTCTTTAGATTTGTCCTAAATGGTTATGTTGAAGAATGACATTTGACTGTCACTGCTTGGAATGTTTCCTGTTGGGTTACAGTTTCTTAAAAGAGAAATCATTGCAGATATATTTTATGTCCACTAACATGATATAAATTAGATGACATGTATAAAAGCAAATGAAAAAAGCACACCAGGGTATTAGGGATGTCAACGTGTAGTCAACTATATGATTAACCAGTAAGCTGAGGCTTATTGGTTAATCTTGTCAACTACACACATTTCCCCCCACTTGTTGCCTCTGTATCAGCTTAAAAGCCTGTTCCCCCTCAGCACCAGTTCCGCAGTACCGGATGCCCTCCTCATGCTGCTACCTCTATCAGAAGGGGAGGAGCAGGGAAGGCTGCCGTGAAGTAGCATGTGTCCTCAGCGAGCCCGAACTCCCTGCGGACAGAGGCTGCTCTGCCTCCCATGGAACAACCTCTGTCTATGGGGAACTCTGACCCTACCCACATAAAGAGGGGCTCACGCTGGGTCTGGGACTTACCTGCACTGCAGCTCTGCATGTAAATAGTGTATTAGGAGTTCCCCGGGAAGACAACCGAGTTCAGTTCTGGCTCATGCGGGGTCCGAGAGCTCAGACACCATCCCCACTGGATAGGTATCTGATGATATAGAGGCAGCAGCACAGAGTGACAGGCAGCTGGTTTGTGAGGGGAGCTGTTTTTTAAACTAGCTCCCCTTTTGGACTTACTCCCACCTGGTACCCCACACTGCTGTATCTGATACAGACAGAACAATGCAGAGTGGCAGGGTGCTCCCCGGGAGTGGGGCTGGAGTCTACTGGCTGCCAGCCCTGCTTCCCCTCCCTCCTCCGAACTATAGAATAATCATGTAATCAATAAGAATTCATGCAGTTACACAACTATTCTGTTACCTGATCATCCCTACAATGTATATGTTTGCATTTCTTGGACTTCAGACTTCGCTCATTATCCATTATGAACTGGGTATCTCTATCAACTAGCTTAATCCATAATATCTCATAATAAGAAAAGAAACAAAATCAACTAACACTTTCCTGACACAACAGAACTGGATGTAGCTGTAGTTTGAATGAGTGGCAGAATTTCCATTGGCTTGGATGGAAGCAGGATCAAACAAAAGGGAGGAGCCCAGCTGCTGGATGGCTTCACTGTTTGGAGGAGGAGAAGAAATCCTCTTCCCTTTGTTGCCCAGAATCTCTCCAGAGCACAGTCTGCTTATAGAGGGCTGCAAGATGTGGCCAGGATTTGGTCCTATACAGTAGCAATATCTCCGTATATGCTCCCAGATAGACCAGTTTTTTGCTTCTCAGACCACAGGTAGACATTCTTGTCATAACTTAAACTAAGGTAAAGGTTTGGTTGTGCCAGGAAAACAGTGGGTGGCTGGAATGGGATTGCTTCTCATAAAATCATACAAAAAAGAGACAGAATCACCAGGCATGTGAAAGGGACTGGCTGGGGGTGTGCCCTCCCCAGCTTGCTCTAGCCCTGAACCTTCCACTCCATAGGTGCCCTTTAGGGAGGGTGGGGGCGGACCAAAGCTGCTACCTTACCAATTTGCACAAGAACATTGCTGGCTGTTCCCCTTTGTCAGGGAGCGAGGAGAAATTACTTAGTTTGCTGCATTCCTCACTCTGGCTGGGGAGCACAGAGGACAGATAAACTTGGACCTGCCCCAGCTGGGGGACAGGCACCCCGCCCCAGCTGTGCCCACTGACACTCAGCAGTATAGAGAGGCGCGTCTCACCTGGCCCCAGGCTGCTGCAGTGAGAGAGGGCTGGGGTTGTCCTCTCTCCCCAGGGCAGCCTGAACCCCTCATCCCCTGCCCCATTCCAGAACAATTATTTAAATGAAGACAAAAATTAATTGAATGAAAGATCCAAGCAATGCTGGGTAAATCTTCTAGTGTTTGATATATGTGAGAATATTTCAGTGTACATTCTGGGGATTTTTTCATTTATCTATAGATTCTTGCCAAATTCACAGCTTATTTATTGATCCTGTTGTAACTTTTTTTTAAATCTGGTTTCACATTTAGAACCCATTGTTTAAATATGTTCGCAGTTGGAAATAATTATTTCTTAATAGAAACAATGCACTGATTTTTTTTCTTACTCCATTCTTGATTATTTGTATCATCCAGTCTATCATTGCCATGTATTTTGAGAACTTCATGCAAAGGTTTATAGGGCAACTAAAAATCTCTCCCCCAGTGGAGGGACTCTTTTATTTTCCCAACATCATCATTTATT